CATTGAAGGGAAAAAATGCAAACATTTATTGTATTGAGATTTTAGTGTATTGAGATTTCAGTTTAATTTTGGGATTTCTTAAAGTCTGTGGAAGGAAGCTGTGAAATCAATATGCATTTAAAAATGCATCTTCCTAGAATAAATAAAGCTCTCGGAGAGATACATTTTATAGTCTGATATTGAAAAGTCGAATTTGCTAGGCCAGCATTTAATGCTCATTGCTCTGAACCCTGTAGCAGGTGGTAGTGAGCTGTCTTTTTGAATCACTGCAGTCCTTTTAGTGTAGATACACCCACAATGAAGAAAGCTCCAAAAGTGTAATTCAGTGACAATGAAGGAATGGCAAGGAGTAGAGACCTAGAGGGGAACTTGCATTTGGTAAAGCTCCCACACAGTTCCCGTCCTTGTCTTTCTAGGTTGGTGGAGGTGATAGGCTTGGAAGGTGCTGTTAAAGGAGTTTTGGTGATTTACTGCAATCTTGCAGCTGTTAAACACTGTTGCCCCTGACCATTGGTGATGCAGGGCACAAATGGTAAAATTGGTGGATGGGGTTCCTTTACCCTGAATGTTGTGTTTCTTGAGTGTTGTTGGAGCTGCACTCAAATGGCGAAGGATATTCCTTACACTGCTGACTTGTGCCTTTAAAATAGTGGACAAGCTTTGGGGAGACAGATGGTGAGTTACGAGCCGTAGAATCCCTACACTTGTGGCTACAGTTTTATCTGGCTGATGCAGTTCGGTTTTTGGCTAATGGTAATCCCAGGATGTTATTAAATTCTAACAGGACTGGACAGGGTAGACAGAGGGAGGATGTTCCCGATGGTGGGTGTGTCCAGAGCCAGGGGTCACAGTATGAGCATTCAGGGTAGACGATATAGGACGGAGATGAGGAGAGTGGTGAGTTTGTGGAATTCATTACCACAGGAAGTAGTTGATACCAAAACATTGAATGTATTCAAGACGCAACTAGATATAGCACTTGGGGCGAATGGGATCAAAGGTTATGGGGAGAAAGCAGGATTAGGCTATTGAGTTGGACGATCAGCCATGATTGTGAAAAATGGTGGAGCAGGCTCAAAGGGCCAAATGGTTGCCTCCTGCTTCGATCTTCTGTGTTTCGATAATAGTGCAGGGTTCCGTAATGGTGATGCCATTGACTGACAAGGGAAGGTAGTTAGCTACAGTTATTATCCTCAAAGCCGGCAAAGAAAAATCAAGTAGGGATACTTTAGCTAAATAAGTAGTATTTGAGTATTTTAGTATTTGAGTAAATCAGGAGAAATCCTACCCAGTGACACAAGGATCAGTAATATCAAGGCAGAAATTTAAGATTAGCACCATAAGAACAGGGAAATATTTTTCTGTGTTCAAGTTGTGATCTGGAACTCTCCATCAGAAAGGCTGATGGAAACACAATCATAAGAACTTTTGTAAGGAAATTGGATAAATACCTGCATGGGGAAAGATTAGCAGGCCATTGGGGAAAGGACAGGGGGTGGTACTAATTGGATATATATTCAGTGAGCCAGCTCAAGCAGAATGGGCCAAATAACATCCTGCTGTATTGTAACATTCTATAATGCTATGATCTAAGGATCAGGAAAGCAAATGTTTCAATTAGACCTTGTAACCAGTTCTCTCAAAATGAGATATCCCATGATGGTTCTGGAATTCAGCTCAGTTCATGTCACTTCTTAAATGTTGATAGAGCATTCTTTTTGACAATGTATAATTTAAAAAGACAAAAATACGAGAAGGGTTCCTTTTCTGAAGAAGGGTCCCGACCCGAAATGCCAACTTTCCTGTTCCTCTGATGCTGCCTGGCTGGCTGTGTTCCTCCAGCTCCACAGTGTGTTATCTAATACAAGAACCATATTTTGTGTAGACAAAACAGCACTTGAATTGTTTTGCGGGTGAAAAGTTTGGTGTGCAACAGGCACGATTTGCAGTTAAGTCTGCATTTTCCGAGTGAAGCTTTGCTTAATCACTTTGGAATTCTTTGTATTAGTAGACATATAAGTACAATGGTCCTACATTGTTTAGTAATAATGAGCTTTTGCTTAACTGTTTTGCCGAGTGGATTAAGGTTATTATGAATACTATAATTAAAGTGAAGAGTTATATCATTTCAGTCAAGATTGTTTACCACTGTTGAAGCATCAGCCTTGGCTCAGTGGTATCACTCCCACCACTGAGTCAGAAGGTCATGTATTCAAGTTACATTCTATTCTTGAGCCCTCATTGTAGGCTGACACTTCAATCTTGTGCTCATAGCGCTGACAGAGGTACATTCAGTCATTCACTCATTCATATTGTATTGTTCTCCCTTAAACTTTCTTCCCTATCTCTTTTGATGTTGTTCAATCTTGGTGGGGTACAATTTATGGATGGGATCAACTGTACAATACTTCATACAGATGGCTATGATTCAGCTGTATATCAATGACCTTATATGGGGTGCATTGTTCACCTCAGAGCTATTCCTGTTTGACACCCAAATGCGTATTCTAATTGGCAGTCACTGGAGAACATTCAGGGTTGGGCCCAATAATCCCTCTAATGTTTGAGGAAATACATGAGTGATTTATTTAAGTGTGCTGCCATGCATGCTCAGTAATCTAAAGTTTCCAACCAGTGCGTGGACTGTGTGGGGACTTTCACGTTACTAGTGATAGCACAACATTGAGGAAACATTGACAGGAACCCTGAGATAGTAAGAAATGCAGCTGATCAAGTCAGAGATAACAGTGTGGAGCTGAGGAACACAGCAGGCCAGGCAGCATCAGAGGAGCAGGAAAGTTGATGTTTCAGGTCAGGACCCTTCTTCAGAAATTGGAGGGGGGGTGCAAACGGAGGGGAAGGGAGCTCAGAAAAAATTAGAGAGAGGAGGGCTGAGGCTGGTGAAGGTAGGTGGGATGATGATAGGTGAGTGCAGGTAGGGAACGGTGGGGATTGGTCAGTGAGGTGGGAGAGAAGGTAAAGCGAGAGAAAGATAGGTGGGTTGTGTCAGGTACCCAATACAATCTGCCCATTTTCTCTCCCACCTATCCGCTCCTCCCACCTCACTGAGCAATCCCCACCACTCCCTACCTGCACTCACCTATCACCATCCCACCTACCTTCCCCAGCCCCAACCCTCTTCCCCTTTCTCTCTTTTTCTTCCTGGCTCTGTTGTCCGCTCCCCCATCCCTTTTCTGAAGAAGGGTCCCGACCTGAGACATCAATTTTCCTGCTCCTCTGATGCTGCCTGGCCTGCTGTGTTCCTCCAGCTCCACACTATATTGACAGGAACCCTTACTAACTGTTCTTTTCATGAACCCAATAGGCCACTTGTCATAACTAATTAAAGCTCAATCATCAGAGGTCAACAGTGAAAACACATGACTCTTCTATTGTACAACACAATGCCCTACCCAGTAGGTCACATTTTCTTTGAGAATTACAAAACATCTAATTCCTTTGAGATTTGATGATGAGACAGTTTGCTGCATGTTTTTTAAAATCTTTTTATACCTTTTATAAATCTAACATTTGTCGCTGCTTTTGTCCCAGTTTACATCAAAATATTATCACAATCCAATTGGGGGAATCTGCCTGGGTTGTAAAACTGACTGATATACACTGATAGAAATTGCAAAACATTTGTACAAGTATTATCTTTCTTACTTCTGATGCATTATACAGTCAATTAGATACCAACTCTCACTGATTAGGAACATGCATAAATAATAACTATGTGGATGGACAGCTGCCACAACATTAAATAATTTCTAAGAAAGAAAGAAAGGTACTGGGTCCATTTTTATTTGATATTTATATAAACAATTTGAATGAGAATATAGGAGGCATGGTTACTAAGTTTGCATATGACACCAAAATTGTTGGTATAGTGGACAGTGAAGAAGGTCATTTAAGATTACGAAGAGATCTGGATCAGTTGGGTCAATGGACTGAGGAGTGGCGTATAAAGTTTAATTTGGATAAATGTGAGGTATTGCATTTTGATAAAACAAACAAGGGCAGGGCTTACACAATTAAAAGTACGGCATTGGGTAGTTTGTTAGAACAGAGACACAAGGGTTCAGGTTCATAATTCTTTGAAATTCGCTTTACAGATAGACAGACAGGGATGGTTAAGAAGGTGTTTAGCATGCTTGCTTTCATTGTTGAGACCTTTTGAGTATAGGAGTTGGGATATCATGTCGAGGTTATACAGGATGTTGGTGAGGCTTCTTCTGGAGTACTGTGTCCGGTTCTGGTGGTCCACTATAGGAAGGATATTATTAAATTGGAGAGGGTTCAGAAAAGATTTATCGGGATGTTGCTGAGAATGGAAGGTTTGAGTTATAAGAAGAGGCTGAAGAGGCTGGATGGGCTGGAACGTTTTTCACTGGAGTGTAGGAGGTTGAGGGATGACTTTATAGAGGTTTATAAAATCATGAGGGGCATAGATCAGATGAATAGCAAAGGTCTTTTCCCTAGAGTGGGGAGTTCAAAACTACGGGGCATATTTTTAAGGTGAGAGGAGAAGTTTTAAGAAGGACATGAGCATCAACTTTTTTTGTGGTTCATGTGTGGAATGTACTGCCAGAGAAAGTGACGGATGCATGTACAGTTACAACATTTAAAAGACATTTGGATAAGTACACAAATAGGAAAGGTTTGGAGGGATATTGGCCAAACGTAGCAAGAGGGACTAGCATGGACTAGTTGGACCGAAGGATCTGTTTCCTTGACGTATGACTCTGATCACCTTCAGGGTAGGTGGAAAGTCTATGAGAGATTATTGAATAGGTAGCAAGGTATCAGTCTAATACAGCATGTAAATAAATATCCATAATAACTATCTATAAATAATAATTGAATATCTCATTTATGTATTTATGTCACTAAAATTAATTTCAATATTTTTACAACTGTTACAAGTGTTACTACTCAGGCTTAGTGTTTGTATATGTTGTGACAGTAGGCTGTAAATACAACTTTTTTTTTCTTTTCAGTCACCTTGTTGGAATTGTGGCCAACAATGGAGAACTCACACATAATGCTTCACTAAAAGGCAGCCATTTTGTGCAGCTTTGTGACCAGAGAGACATTCCTATCATATTTGTTCAAAACACAAGACCAAATGTTACCGTGGCTGGAACATTATCTAAGGTAATAAAGAGTTGGTTTATGTAGCAATATTGTAGTTTGATGTTGTCACTGAATTGATTCTCAAATATTTTGCTGCACTATAGAATTTAACTATAGAATCAAGAAGATCCCAGATTAATCATTAGTTTGTAGACATTGCTGATCTCTGCTAGGGTACTATTGATCGCTAGACTGGGTATGATTTTCATGACTGAATTGCTACTCAGTGACTCTTTCTGGAAATTGAACTCATGTAGTTATCTGCAATTATCTCCAGAATTGTAGATCTGACAACCTTGACTGTGTAAACTTTGGATTGAACAATAATCACTTGGGCAAAGTTTAAGAATGTGTGTAAGTGCATGTCAAACCACTCTGTAACATGGGTCAGTACTAATATGGGGAAAAAATTGTGTTGAAGAATTTTCCTGCAAAAAGAATTGCAAGCGTAATGCCTTAATCGGTAAAGAGTTCAGAAATCAGATTTTTGCCATCAAGATAACACTCGTGATTAAATTCTCCATATTTAGGTGGAAAGTGTTTCAAATTCAGTGTTTGCATCTCGTTAATTACACCGGCATCACTTGTTTTAACAGATTTGGGCAGCCAGCACTTGTTAGCTTAGAGATGGCATTAGCAGACATGGGGATTTAATCTTCTTCTGGCTTTTATTTATTGTTTTAGCAAAGATTGACAGGAAGATGTAGCTTATTGTAGAGGGAGGGACAGAGATCTTGTGGCTCTAGGAATCAGTGAAGAGTACGTACAAAAGTCCTAAAGAGTTTACAAGGTGTGGAGCTGGATGAACACAGCAGGCCAAGCAGCATCAGAGGAGCAGGAAAGCTGACGTTTCGGGTCTGGACTCTTCAGAA